ACTTGGTTATTCCAGCTTGCAGGACTGGCCTAGGGTAATTTTTAGAGGGGTTTTAATTATATTTTAATTGGACTATGTTTAAAATATTTCTTTTTAATTAATTTTAAATTTGTAATTGTCATTTATGTATTTTAACTGATTGTCAGCCGCCCTGAGTCCGCGAGGAGAAGGGCGGGATATAAATTTAAATATAATAATATAATAATAATAATAATAATAATAATAATAATAATAATAATAATAATAATAATAATAATAATAATAAACTTACCATTTATTTTGAGCTGATGTGTGGTTGTGCAGCTTATTCAACAATTAATGGTTAAAATATGGCTTGGCGCAACTATACAATTAAAACCAATAATTGGCTTTGCCAATTAAGAATCTTTCTTAACCTAGTTTCCTCCAAAAGTGCGGTGACTATAATTCTCAACATTACTGGGCTCTTGATGATTAATATCATGTCTTTCTTGTCTAAGACTTGTTTTGGGAAGAAAATGCATTTTTGGCATGCTTTATTGATATCTGATGTGGGTGCTGCTGTTGCTTTCTCAGAGAATTGCATTCCTGGGTTTTAGGTCCTTGCTGGCAGGGATAAAGAGGATGGAGGATGTTATGTACTGGGCTTAATTAAGAGCAGGTGGAGGAGCTGCATCAGAACAGTCAGCAGACCACATGGTCTGCCGGGTAATTTATTTAATTTAATTTATTTATTTATTTATTTAATTTAATTTATATGCCGCCCTTCTCCCGACGGGACTCAGGGCGGCGCACAACATACTTAAAACCAAAACATATATACAATCCCCCCCTTAAAACCGAATTAAACCAAATTTAAAGTTGCGTCTTTCAAATTCCTAAAAAAAACCAATATAAAATCCACCCTAGGTCAGGTCCGCTTGCTGAAAGAGCCATGTCTTGAGGGCGCGACAGAAGGTAAGGAGATCCGGAATTATCCGAATCTCGGGGGGTAGTTCGTTCCAGAGGGTGGGGGCACCCACAGAGAAGGCCCTCCCCCTGGGGGTCACCAGCCGGCACTGCTTGGCCGACGGCACCCTGAGGAGACCCAC